AAAGTGGTTTGTGCCAGCCATATTTGTCTACGACATAAAATGGTCGAAGACATCACTCTCCCACATCACGTGTCAACTGAGAGTGAGCAGCCAAAGCTGAATCAACAAGGTTCTTAGAATCCTGGTCCCGATCAGACGGTCAGTTTTAGCACACTCCTTCCTGGGGCAGCAAGGGTTAGCAGAAGCATGGACGGGACCTAAGGCAGTCCATGCAGCTATTGCTTGTTCTACTGGCGTCATGTCCCCCAATCCAGTTTCCGTTGGGTAACGGGAATTGGCCAACCGTCTACAGCCTGCATTAAATTGAGGCTTTTGAAACCGTTTCTTCCACGTTGCCTGTAGTAGCTATTGAATCAGAAGTCTCTCACATTCATATAAAATGGTCTGTTATAAAATAAGGTTGGGTATTCCAGTATGACTGTGGCAAGTCTAAATAGTAATTTACTATACTCTATTGTAAGAATTAGGAATTTAATTTGAATGTTTTTGATAGAGGATTAAACTTTGTATTATTGGTTTCTGCACTGCCTATTAATACAGTTGATTTTAATATGTCTATATTGACTGACATTAAGTGAGTGTTTAAGATATGACCTTTTCACCGGCATTCAGAATGGGATTTGACTGTTTGATTAATATGAAGTGGACCGTTTTTCTTTACTTAGTAAATGTGCTGTGTAGCAAAGTGTTTTGATACTTATTATACTGCTTAAATTTTGTTTAAATGATGTTTTATTAACAAGGTTCGGGAGGAGTACGATCAGATAATCAACCAATTCGGCACATGTGGAACTCGTTCAGTTAATCAGCTTAACTAGCACAATACCTATGTATATATATATATATATACAGCCAACTTACCTCTGTCCCATGACAGTTTTCCGGCATCCCTCCTCCACCCCAACTCCTCACTCTTAACTATTCTCATCCCAAATTAGCGATAAGTGGAGATCTCTGGGTTCGGGCTATATTCCGGGCTCGGAGCCCTCCCTCGGGGCATTACGCCAAATATGCTTACTATTTGCTCAATCCGATTATACAGTCAAACCAAAATTTATTCAGACACCTTCAACATTTCTCACATTATCACAGTTTATTCGCTATAGTTTAGAAAATGATAATAAAATATGAAAAGAACTCAGAGTTCAACTGTGTCAGAACAAATTAATCTTGATAATGTTAGATAATTTTGATAGAAAGGTATGTAATGAATTAAGTTGAATAGCTGTCAGCTGTCAGGTGTTAAATTTAAGTACACAATCAGATAATACCAATCTAGGTCAACCAATTACCAAGCAATGCTTAATTTTGTTCAGTCTGCGGTGTAAAAAGGTCGCATTAGCAATTAAAGAAAAAACACAGAAGCAACACATGGTCAGGTCAAAGTGTCTGAATAATTTTGCTTCCCAAATGTTTATCAGTTTTACTGGTAGTCCACTGTATGAAGAATTTTTTGGTATAATATGTCATAGTTTATTTTATTTTGCTATCCTCACTTACATAAACGAACTATAGTATCCTGCACCCACTAGTAAAAAAATATAAAAAATTATATCTGGTGTCTGAATAATTTTCGGTTTGACTGTATGTAAATGCAAACTCGTGAACATGTGTATATATACACACACACAAGTGTAATTCGGCAGTTACTCTGGCGCGATGACATTGAATTCTGGGGTGGGGTAGGGTAGGCTGCGAAGAGTCCATCTGTTGTAGCCTTCATTGCTAGAGAAACGAAGTGTGCATTTCGAGGCCGCATTTGAAGGAGCCTTCGAATTGGGACACTCTTCATCGCGCTGCAGTGATTCAATCGCCCTTAGATTGCAGCCTTCGAGGATGCAACCTTTGAATTGGGATGCAGCTGAGGTATTTACACTTGACCATTTGTCTACTTACATGACGTATTTCCTGTGCTTAGCCCAAGTGTTCAAGTGGGCATGAAGACCACAGAACATGATGCATGATTGGTTACACTTACTTCCTGTTGTGTGCTTACGCTCTCAAGTGACCAAGACTGCCAGTGTGGGTATTTGGACAGGCCCCTTCTCTCTTTTATTTCATGCGCCTACATGCAAATGTGTAGGCGTAACTACTTACACACATATAAAATAATAATTCCTTAAATGAACTCAAACAAATGATTAATAACCATTATGAGTTAACAGGAATTTAATAATGAATTGTTTCCTTTTTTTAATGTAGTTACTTTTTTCAGAGAATAATTTTGTCTACACTGGATGCAGAGAGACACGATGTGACACAACAAATCCCCAATAGTAAACTGATGCCCCATTGGATTTCTGATGTACTCCATGTGCGAGAGCCACTTCTGAAATGAAGGACAAATGAATTTGCAATGGTTACTTTGTTGCATCCAGTGTAGACAGCTTCCAGCTGTTGTGGTGCAACACAACAGCTGAGACCTGTTGGAGAACTCCAACACTTAATATAGGTGCTATGGCCCTGATCACATGTATCACAATCCTGAATGAATGTTTGTGCGAAATTTTATACACAATAAACATGGAATGTAAACATTAGTTAACTGCCAGGTATGTTCTGTGTTTCTGCATGTTGACAGCGCTCTGCACAGGCAGTAGTGGAGCACAGTGACAGGATCTTCAATGAGCTCATCCGCTCCATTCAGAAAAGACGAGGTGAGGTGAGAAAACTGATCAGAGCTCAGGAGAAGAAGGAGATAGTACAGATTAATGAACACATACAGAAACTGGAGCAGGGGATCAGTAATCTGCAAAATGAGAATGATAAACTGGGGCCACTTTTACATACAGAGGATAACATTCATTTCTTTCAGGCATAAATAGTATAATCTACAGAAAGGCTTTTTTAAATGAAATGCTTACAATTTATTGATTCTATTCTTAAGTCTTTTTTAAGCGTTAATTGTTTTTTCTTTTCAATTTCAGAATGACTCTTCTCAATCTGGAGTGTATCTGTGCACAACTTCACCCAGAGATGTTAATGACCTCTTGACATTTGAGAATGTAGACAAATCTGTCTCAGAGCTGAACAGCCAACTGGTCAAACTCTGTGAAGAGCACATGGGCAAAATATCAAAGAAAGGTGAAGTAAAACTGTCAAGAACCATTCAGACTTTTACAAGTATGAAGTAGAGATGAAACGGTATGATATTTCATATCACGATTATGGTGACCAAAATGATCATGGTTATCAATATTATCACTGTATTATTAAAATGTGCAGGAAATGTTCAAAAAGTACTCATACACACACTAAAATAATTTCACCAAGTTCTATATCGAAAGCCAACAAAGAACAAATAAAATTGGCAGCACTATGTACTTTTTGTTTAAAAAAAAATGTTATTTCATTAAAATAACATTTAAAATGATGGCCTGAAAAAATATGTTGGTTGTGTACTACATATGCAATTAAAGTTGGGGGGGGGGGGGGATATTTTTGAATGCACATTCGTTTGTTTTCCATCTACCACTTAAGATTTACAACAGAAAATTGGTGCAAATTTCACATTGGTCTACACACAAATGGCAGACAGGCTGACAGGCTGAATGAAAGCGAACAGGCTGAACTCCACTGTCTGACAGCAGGTGGAGTTTATGGAACAGCAGAAATTCAGCTGTTTCCCCGGTAACCGCTGTAAACAAAGCAGTTCCGTGCTTATAAATGCTGCTTTATTAGGCAATATGTGGAGGGATGAAAAGAAAATGCCATTGAAACTTTTCTGAAGACAGTCAGTTCCCCCTTATGCATTAATTTATTCATACATTCTTTCATATACCCTCTCTCAGCACACTGCCTTCCTTCATGTTTTCACACAAAACAAAACCTGCATGTTGCGTCTACGTCTTACTGACTTTGCTTAATGCTGAGTCGTATTTACCGCAAGTTTTTCAAATTGCCATAATCAAATACTGTATTAATGATAATTAAAAGATAAAATGGTAATACTAACCGTCAGAACTTTTATCGTGGTTTATCATCAAACCAGCAATTGTTCCATCTCTAGTGTATAGCACAGTAGGCCTATGCTGAGTGCCATGATATCATATAAGTGAACCAAAAAGTACAAGTACTGTAGGCTATATTGTGTCAGCTTGTGTAAAATGTAACAATTTGAGGTGCTTGTTAGCTGCTGATTTCACCACAACATTCGGGGTTACTGGCTAATTAAAAAAAAAAAAAAGTATGGCATAAAATAATTCATTGTAATATCTTTTTAATAGTTGCTGATGTCCAAATTTTCAAAACCACTAGGCTCCAAGATAGTGAGTATTTATTTATGTATGTATGTATGCATTTCCGTGCAGATACTCAAATAGAAAATACAATTATAATAATTCAACATTTTAGTCAATTTATTGTTTTCTTTATTTCCTAATTCTGTTACTCATCCAATATTTCTAATTGTTTCAGTCGATTCACCAGTGGCTTCAGCTTCAGACCACTCATCAGATGATGACTGTATGTATTAAATAAATATTGAAGGGATAGTGGACAGAAGGACAGTGTTTTTGTTATCACTTCCTCTAATGCTGTTCTGTGCATGAAAGATATTTTGAAAAATGTCTCTGTTTTTGTCTGTAATGAAAGTAGAATAAAGTTCCACAGAAGACATAGTTTTGGAATGAAAAGTAAATGTTACCAGAATTTTCATTTAAGGAAAACCTTTTAAATAACTGATTTAAAGGCCAATCCAGCAGTACATTTAAATATTTTATCAGGTTTAATTAAACATCTATTTACTGTTAACAAGGAACTCATACTTAATTTTAGTACGTAATTGTCTTGTGCTTTCTGTACCTATTGAATAATATAGGTTTCTTTCTTTCTTTCTTTCTTTCTTTCTTTCTTTCTTTCTTTCTTTCTTTCTAAATAAAGATAGGCCTCCGTCACCAGAACCTGGTGAATGGTCAGAATGAAGCCTACCTGGGAATTTCGGGGGGGAAAAAAAGTTCAATACAATGTAAAGTCTATATCAAAATATTTAATCATCCATGTGATTATATATATATGTCACGCAAATCATATATATATATATAT